CACTTAAAATATCACAATTAAAATTTAATGACATAATATACCTTAGTTAAAAAGAAATATTACATATGAAATACAAAAAAAAATGATATAAACAGAAATCATGAAAATGAAAATAGTATAAATTAATATGAAAATGTAACTAAAAAATGATATACTGCTCACTTTTCGGCTCGTGTGGCAGGTCCTTGTGCAGGTTGAAATTGTCTAGCATTATGAATTTTGAGCTTCTTAGTGAATAAATTAGATTGGATAAAAGTTGGAAACTAACATAAACAAGTTCAATTTTCGGGTTTCCTTTACACTTTCAAACGCCTGGACGACCACGATGTGCTGGGCTTACAGCTGCCAGACGATGGTTTTCTGGAATGGTACTTAGCACGTACAAAAATTTTAGCCTTACAGGAACAAATTGTTTCAAAAATTTTCATAGGATATTAAAAATGTTTTTATAAGTGTTCAATTATTAAGTTATAATTGGGTGACAAGCGTATTCTACACACAACTTATGTAAATATGTTTGACTTTTTTTTTTCTTAATATTTTCGAAAATGTTTAATATTTAAAAATCCTGATCGGTCTTGAAACTTCGAATTTTTTGGAAATTTTTATTTTTTTTTAACCGTTCGAATTTTTCTGGAAATCATGAGAAAATCTAATTTTTATTTTTGAAATATTTAAGAAACTTTTATTATTTTTTTTTTCTAAAATTTTTTATATGAAAAGTATATAAGCAAAAATGTTCATTTTCGTTTTTTTATTACTACAGTTTGCTCTATGTTTTACGAATTTTATTTTAATCAATCAAATCGGTTAATCCATGCTTTCAAAAACGTCAATGAAATATTCGTAACAATATATACTACGCACCCACATATACACAATACATTAACTTTTTCTAAGGTATGCCTAAAAGTTCAGAAGATATTGAATCTTGAACATATCCCCAAAAAAATTAATTTAAAACTATAAGTAAGTTGTACTTTGTCGATAAAAGCATGGATTTAGATTGTCAACAATGTCACCTAGATTTCATGGTAAAATCATGGTCAAACATTTAAAATCACTACCAAAAGAATCGATCTGAAACTGAAATGAATATAAAAGTACTTCTGATAAATATTTATTTGCATAAGTAATATTTTTTTTAAAAATATGAGAACATTAATATAATAAATAGAGAGGTTAAATTGAATTCCTAATATAAAATGTTCGTAAGATATAAGATTTTAGTTTAAGCATGCAACAGCAATATTTATAGAATTTATTTTAATTTTTATTCCGGTTATCATTCTACGTAGTTTTAGAAATATATATATATATATATATATATATATATATATATATATATATATATATATATATATATATATATATATATATATATATATACATATAGTAGTATATATATACATATATATATATATATATATATATATATATTCCTTCTTACTTTCTCTAATGTAACTATGTACAAAATAAATATTATTTAAACTATTTTAATATACATTATACATACATATATGTATGCACATATATGTATATATAGGTATATGTGCATATATATATATATATATATATACATATATCAAATAAAATGATGCATATATATATATATATATATATAAATATGTTTGGAACAAAATAGAAACAAATATCAGTCATTGTTTAAGTTTAATGTTTTTTGTCGGCTGCGCTAAAATTGCAAACATTAAAGTCAGCATTAATGTATAGGAATTGTTTTAAATACAATTTTTGTTTCAGTACAATTAAAAAATAGGTTCTCAATAGAATAAAGTAATGGCGCAGAGGAATAGCCTCTTTATTTAAAACTCATAACAAAAAAAATCCTACGAACAGTAGCACTTCTGGGTATAATTATCTTAGAAATTGTACTTTCACCACTAAAAAATATTAAATTCATCAACATTCAGGATTAAAAAATATTAAATATTAAATATGCCATGATTTCTACTTATATTTGTCAAACCTTTCCAGTTGATCTATAGTTTGCTATGCTTGTATTATATTGAACATTTTATATATTTTTAGTAATAATACTTTTCTTCACTTTCTTTTTCTTTGTTTCAATATCCTTTAAATAAAAAATAATAAGTATAATGAGCATTTGATTTAATAGAATGTTTACATGACCACAGTTTATAAGCTGAAAAGGTTTTACAAATATCATATAGAATTAATAACTAAGATCAAATTTTCGAAACATCAATGGTGTGTTTTTAGTTTCAAAACTATGCCAATACTATTATACAAAATTTAATTAAATTACCAAAATGTTTAGCAAAAATAAATAGCGCAGCCGTTTCTCAAAATCTGTAAATATTGTTAATGACCTTTTGTAACATTTATTTTATAAACGATATATTTTCATATAACTATATCGTAGTTAATATAATTACTTCTAATAAATTCCCAATTGTGCATAGCATATAATTTAATAAATTCTAAACACGTCAGATCAACCGATGATATGATTATAACTTTTTTTTTATAAAGCAATAATGACAATACTAAAAAGTTTTTAATTATTTTCGATACGGAAGTAAAACTGGAAGACATTTCTATATAGAATGTTTTATCTAAAAATATATCTTTCGATATAGTTTTATTACATTTTACTAAAATTTGGAACTCTTCAAAATATTAATCCATAAAAGAATTTGTTTATGGATTATTTTTAAATTCAACGCAATAGTAATGTAATGTTAAAAAATAAAATTCAGTAACTAATTGTTTTCTAACTTTTTTATATTGTCATTATTTTCATTTCTTACTCTATTTTTATACTATAAAGACAATAATAATGTTCCATAAGTTTGGTCATTTCTGTTCTAGGAATTGGTGTCGAAGGGTGTCTAAAAGTTTTACAATAAATCCAAGATAAAGTTAGATTTTCATTGGTTGTATCGTGCAAATGTGTTTTTGGTGTTTATTTATACAATTTACAAATTAATTATTCAAATTTGGGATTTTTTATATAAATTGTAAATAAAATTTAAACATATCGTTTATGACATATAATGTGATTAGGTCTGAAAAGCACATATAAGGGTTGTGGTCAAATGCTGTAGTAACATCTACTTATGGTTAATTGTTGTAGTTTTAAATTACTATGTTATTTTACCCGAAATTTCCGAACGTGGCAATACTTGAAACAAAATCAAAAAAATTATTTGTCTATACTACTTCGCTAACAATTTTCTGAGAAATTACATTTTTGTTCAAAACTTATGTGCTCAATAAAATAATTTTTATTCAAATGGGATTTTGCAATGAAATTATGTCCAATAGGCATTTTAATAATGTAACACATTTTTAATGCAAAAAAAATCATAAAAAATATTATCTGTAAATAATTTGTCAAAGGCATAATCTACGATTTTTCATAAAAAATTAATTATATAGGCAAAAACAGAACATTCGAGTCTTGCAAATTATTGTTACATTTGCTTTATAAAGGAAAATGATGATTGATCGTTAAAAATCATCGAGAAAGACCATACATGTTTTCAAGTGAAGATTTGGGTAAAATAATAAGTTGAAATGCGTCAATTAAGAATTATAAATTGAATAACTATTATATATTGTTATGAAACTTAAAATATTGCAATTTATGTTCACACATTGTATTATTTAGTTCGTGCTAGTAAATTAAATATGAAAATAAGAAAACCCTATGCAAAGTGTGCAGCAGCCAATTGAAAGTAAAGCATATATATATATATATATATATATATATATATATATATATATATATGCAATACTTAATATAATTTTTTTTTCAAACATTTTCCGCTGTTTCTTCAGTCTTAAAAATGACAATACTGTAATAATATTAATAGAACACATTAAATCCTTATTAATTATTTGTACGCTATAATAACAATTAACATTTTAATTTAAACAAAATAAGATCTGAGCCGCTTATTAACTATTTTACCATGTCAAATAAACATTTAATTTTAGAAAAATACTCTTCTTCAAATCTCTATAACTATTGGGCAATCGTATAAAAATTTCACATGGATCTAATCAATGGGGTTGCTTTCAACTACAAGACTGATGATTGAGAACCCATTAAATCCATTATCTATCATATAACTCTCATAATATACGATTAGCTAACAATGCTAAAACATTTATGGACCCATTTGGCTTAATTTCAAGCACTATAACGTTCTAAACTTGAATACAAATATGAATATACTTAACGTATATCAATCGACATGTTTTACAAATATAACAACTATTCTAATTATTTTTGGAGTTTATGACATCACAATTAAGAATATATATGACTTATTTATGTCAATTATAAATCAAAATTTATTATAACTCAAACACCATATATAGACATATTGAAAATTAACTGATTGTCTTTAATTAAAAAAAAACTTCAATGGGGAATTAATATTTTTTACTGAGCAATTGTCCAGTATCTTGAGTTATTACAATTTTGATTTACAATTGTGGTATAAGCAAAACTTGAAATTTTAATAATTTACAAATTTTGACAATATTAACCTTGATATGATTATTTCAAAGTATTTATAAAAATTATCATTAATGTAAATTTGAGTTCATATGTGTCGAATACTTTCAAACAAAACTAATGAGTAGAACATTTATATCTTATTAACAAATTGTATATAAAAATATTAAATTATCACTATAATTATACTACACCATTAAATAATACATCAAATATTTGTATGTTATGAAAATATAATGCAATTTCAAAAGAATTATCATTTTTTAATATTAAATCATAAAAAATAGGTAAATATAATACTTTCTATTGTTTAAAGATTTTTACCAAAAAATAACATCGTTTAATTTCATAGCTTCAATTAATATTCTGGTAAGAATCTTAGTAATTAATCAAGAGAAAATTTATAAAAAAAGTGATTGATCAAAAAAATACCATTATTCATAATATACAAAGAAATCTTACGTTTACATATTTATAAGATACGCTTTTCATAAACCACTTACAAAACATGAAGGTTTTCGCACGATTTCGACTTGGAATCTCTCGCCCAAACTCTGCCCAGGAGTCCTTTGACCCTGAGCGAAGCTGAGGTCCTGGACCCGCGGTATTTTCTGGGTGAGGATGGGGCCGTTGGAGGGCCGCTTCTCTGCAACGGCGACACTGGCGGGCTGAGACCGTTCGTGACGGGAGAAGCTCGTCTGTGCTTTGTTTTGCGAGTACTCCGTTTACGGAACAGGTCACTAGAATAAAAATAAAATTTTTCAGATTTAAGTTATTTGAGAATACAACCTTAACCTCTTGAGGTCAGGACGGTTGCAAGTGAATCGTACAGTGATGCGTGAACCAGTCATTATAGCAAGTTCACGTCAGAATTCGAGATACCCAGCCGTAAGTCTGCAATTACTGTATTTTGCACCCTGAAAGTTGTCTCAAAACCTACATATTGGCGATTAGATTTTATGTAAACTAAGTAAGATATATCACTGGATTATCTTATATAATATCATACTTATTTAAATGTACAGTTTAGGTCATAAAAATTATTTTTGTATTACTGATTGCTGAAATAAAGTAAAATAAAAAAAAAACCTGCATATCGTAACATATGCAGGTTTTGAGACAACTTTTAGGGTGTCAAAATACAGTATATACAGACTCACTTAATATGTGAAACTGGACATTTTGCTACTACTATTCAAATTATTTTGTATAAAATTGCATATAAATAGCTTAAATGCTTTTCCGAGTCGAGATCGAATGAGTTAGATTTTTTTATTTGTAAATACATAGATAATATTTAAATAGATATAAGTCTGCCATTTAATAAGTATTAAATTTCCGAAAGAAAAGTTTATGTTTTCGTCAAAAAATCCGTTTCGCTAATTTTATGTTTTCTCGATGTTTCGAGTCATTCTGAATCGAATGAGACCAAATTTGGAAAAAGTATGTGTGTGTGTATCGTGTGCGTGAACAGATATTTTGCCGTAAATCGACGTTTTATCAAAAACAACTGGACCAATTTCAAAAATTTAAAATCCATTCGATGTACCTCGATGAGAACTATAGTTTATCCATTTTGTGCAACAATCGTCCTAACCGTTTCTTCGTAAATAGCAGAAAAGTGAAAAGTTGTTCGTCCACGTTTTAGCCCGCAATTCTAAATCGATCTTGAAAGTTCAAAAACCGTTCGAAAGATATTGGTTGGGAATCGACCTGGTTAGTTTTTCGTAAAGATCTGCCGGACCGTTTTCTTGTAATAAAGTGTTAAAAAATTTTTTTTTCGGCGATTTTCATTATTTTTTTTGGTGATAGATTTCATGGTCTTCTAGATCATACTAAAATATTACGGCCCTACGACAAGCCATTTAATTTTGAAAATTCGTCAAAGTTTGCAAAAATTAGTATCGTTTTTTTGGAATTTGTCAAAATTAGAACTTTCATCGACGTTTGCTCAAAAACGCCGAAACTGATTTCAGAAATTTAAAAACCATTCGATGTAACTCAATGAGGATTATCGTTTGTCAGTTTTGTGGGACGATCGGCCGAGCCGTTTCTTTGTAATTTGGATTAAACTTTGTATTAAACTTTTGGTTCACATTTAAGCTCATACTACCGAATCTATTTTAAAACAAATCAAAAACTGTTTGAAAGATATTAGTTGGGAATCAGTATGATTAGTGAATTTAGATGAAAATCTTCCGAGCCGTTTTCTTGTAATTAACGTTTAGTAAAGAAAAAAAATTAAGCCTATTTTTATGAAACTTTTTGCCTTTTATGGAGCAAAATATATCATGGTCTTACTGAAAACTTACTGAACAAGTAGTTTATTTATTTATTTATTTTTTTTTTTTTTTTTTTTTTTTTTATTTTATTTATTTATTTACATATATACATTATTTTCATATCTCAGTCAGACAGAGGTGCCTGGTATGAGAGATTATGAAAAACAGTTTTCATATAATATTTACATTTCATTTGACTATAATATCTATTTCATTAATATAATATCTATATATAACTCTTCAGTCTTCTTTTTCTTCAATTTCCATATAGTACTTCTTTATTTTTCTTTTAAAATTATCATTATCATTGGTCATCTTAATATAGTCTGGCAATTCGTTATTTGAAAAATTTATCAAAGTTTGAGAATATGAGTTTGTTAAAATTAAAATTAGACGATTTACTTGGTATAACGATAGAGTACTTGGTCTTAATGAACATACTAAACCATTAAAGTCTTACGGAAACTGGTTAAATTATAAAAATTGTAGATTTTTGAAAATACGTGTTTTTTCGTTTTTATGTTATAAATATAATAAATCCACTCGGTATACATTTAATCACTCATAAATTAATTTATTTTTTATTGATTAGGTCGATTATTGAAACATATCGGGAAGTTTATGTAACTTGCCTCTAGGCTAAATATCAATACCAACTAGTTTATAATTAAAGATTTCAATAAGTTACAATTAAATTATAAAATTAAAGACTTTCCATTTGAGGCGAAGCAAATACCAATAATAGCTGCCAAAAATATTTGTTTAGACGTTTGTAAAATATTTGGACTCAAAAAAAGAATTTGTTACATATAAAAGGGCTAGTAATATATAGCAGCTTTTGGGTGTAAACAAGAACTTATATCGTTTGATGAGTGCAAATTTTCCACAGAAAAATAAAAATTAATTATATTTATAATTTTAGTAATTAACAATATTATGATAGTTAATAAAAACAAACGATTCATTATGTCAAAAATATGATTAAATGTCAAAATGATCTGAGACATATTACATTATATAAAAATAATTTTTAAAATATAAAAAATATATACAAAAAAATCTAACAACAGTATGCTGATGACACTTGTGGCATTAGCTTGCTTAACGCTTCTACTGTGCGACTGTGCAACAATCGTCTGCTTTTGCGGTATTATAAAAAAAACAATTATGTATAAAATTATTTTCAACCTTTAACATAGTCAATAATAATCAGAAAACTATTTTATTTAAAAAAAATCAAAATCTATTCTATTATGCAAATTAAATTCTGAAACTTTTAAATAAACATGGGACCTTTTAAACTTTATTGGTTTAACAACTAAGTTTTATCTTACCGTGATTTTTCTGGGTTTTCTAATTTAAGTCTGATCTGTGACAATAGCCCCACCAGAAGTTCGTCCACATTGTGATTGATGCCGACTGAAGTCTCAATGAATTTGCAATCGTAAGCTGTAGCCATGGCTTTTCCCTCTGAAAGAAATGATAAAACTTGAACATATTCCTTGAGGTAACAGGTAAGTGCATAAAATATTCTAGAATTTTTTTATAATGTTATTGAGTTTAAATTTAAACAAGATCTGACATAAACTCTTTCGCTACGAGTATAAAATGTGTTAGTAGCTTCATCTCTTACATTCATACCTTGATCATGTTTTTTTGGCAAGTTTAGTATTGATCTTTGTTCTTATCGTATATTAAAACCAGTATAAAAACTGTTCCCTAAAAGCCTAAACAAAATAGATTAAATAAAATTAGCATGAATACTAATTGTTTGTAAGTGAAAACTGTTTTAATGAACAAAACAGCATTCTACAACATTTTCTATTTAAATTCTCCAATTAAGTTAGCAGAGTTTTTTGTTGTACTAACTTTGTTTGTTTCAGTTCTTGATTATATAATTTTAGTCTTTTAGTTCTATATCATTTTCATTATAAGATTGCCAAGACATTTTATTGATTAATTATTCATTGCTATGATCAGTAGTTTAAATTTCCAATTTGAAAAATAATTTTAGATCTTCCTCAAACCTTGTATTATCAAAAATTTATTAAACCTTCCTCAAACATAAAAATTTATTAAAGATCTGAAAAATTATGAAATCAACTTCATTTTACCAGATGAATATATATTAGTGATATTTTATTATCAATTGTTAGAGTTAGATAATTAGATCATATTAATTAAAACACAAATTTACAATATACAGAAATTAAATACCTAAATATGAAGTAAAATTATATATATATATATATATATATATATATATATATATATATTAAAAAGCTATAATCAAAGAGAATTATTAATAATAAAATAACAATTAAAGCTTATTTTATTTTCAGGATGATTTATTCACAGGAGGAAAAAGAGTTACAAAAATAATAACATGGATTATTAAAATGTTGTAAATAAAAAAAAATAATGTAAATTGACTATTCATTTTATTTTAACCTTTTAACGTAAAAAGTTCACTTATATTTTATCTTCTTATTTCAATTTAAGTTATTCCAAAACTTGTTCTAAAGTACAACTCTCTTGAATCTTTTATCACTTGAATATTTTTCAGTTACTTAATTAAAAATATTTTCCAATTAGTTTTAAGAGAACTAATTCAAAGAGAAAAACTTTAAAATTTGAGCATGTTATGTGTCAATTGTCAACATAGTTTTTCGCTAATTCAAAATAATAATTGTAATATATTATTGATATTTACTTAAACCTATGGGCATAAAGTGTATGACTAACAAGTTCAAATTTTGGTTTGTTAATTTTTGTGTTATACAAATAAAGGATATATAGGTTTAATTTCATTCTGTGTGTAATGGAAGCTTTTAATGCATTATGTCTAATAGTACATCAACATTTTACTGTTCATGGTTCCTAAATAAACCACTGCCTCTACAATGTTGTACTTTAGGTGGGTTTCCTTGACGAGTTCTTACTTCCAGAAATTGCTAAACAGAGCTTTGATGTAAACGATTTTCAATAAACTTTGCTGGTGGTAAAAAATGAACTTCAAATTATTCGCAAAGTAATAATTTAATTTTTTTCATTCTGGTAGATGTTACAAATAGTCCCAAGTACGAGGTAAGCTATAACACCGCATTTATTCTAGAATTAGACTAATTGTGCAATAATGAACAACATATGTGAATATATTTTTACTTGTTTAACTAAAGGAATAGTTTCGGCAACCATCCCTTCTTATTTCATAAAAATATAATTCGTGGATTTCAAGATATATTAATTAAAACAAAACTGTTAAAACTAACCTCTAGCTTTTCTAATCTGAAATAAACCTATTACCATTCCATTGTCTTAGTACAAACGAGTGGTGAAAATTTATTCTTAAATCACTTCTTCATCTGCTCAGAGATCTATACATAAGTGATAACATGATTTGACATAATAGTTTTTCATTAAATATGACAGGCTATTGGTTATTATTTAATTTTTTTACTAAATGAAACATAAAACCATAATCTAAGCCCCAAAGAAACTAATTGGTGTATATTGCTAAAGCACAGAATTACAAAATATCAATGTAAATTCGATATTCAAGATGCAACTCGTTTACCGCAATATCAAAAACACGTTAGATAAATTCACGATTTATAAGATTGGGTAAAAAACGAAAATACTCTTTGGCTTAAGAATTCAGGATTTCAGCTCCCTTATTCTTTGTACGAGGATAAAATGTTAGGTAAACTATCGTAGATTATTGCCATTTCGTGGGTCTTGTCAGCTCATTAACATTATTGTTACGGTTCAGATATCGCAATTACTCTAACAATTTGTTCAACGGTGGCTTGGGAAACAGAGTACCTTATAATCCTTTGCAAACATGAACAAATATTATACGAGTAAATTTTTGATAGCACGTTATGAATAAATCAACTTTCATCAGGAACTTTGTAACTGTATATGCTTTTTCAAAATTTCGAGTAAATTTCTGTATTCAATAAAAACTATATAAGTCAATACATTTCTCAATTTGATTATTTTTAATATGTTCAAAAACATATTTCAATGATTTTTTTTTTTTAAGTTGCTAGAAAGAGAAGTATATTCTCAACATGAAAAATTAAATTTATTTTCTTCTACAAAAATGATAATCAAAACCGATAACACATCACGATAAATATTTCTGTATACATTGACGTAGTCTATAACAAAATAAAAATGTAAAGTAGTTGTTTAACTATAATGAACGTGTTATCAAATATTTTAAATTTTTGTTAACTGACAAGTTTAACTTATACAAAACTTCACATTTCTGGGTAGGTGCACAAAATATTATTATTTATACTAAAAGTAAAAATTATATATACTAGTATAAAAACTAGTATAAATCACATATACTAGTAAAAATATTAGTACATATATTGAAACAGGGTAGGGCGAGGCACATAGGTTTAATTTGAGTTTGAACAATTATATTGTAAAAACCAAACCAATTATATTACAAAAAATAATACATATCAAACAAACAACTATCTGAGTATGTTCAGTAGAATCCTGGCCAATTCATCATTGTAAGGCGGGGTAAATTGCGACGGTCAGGGGCCAAACAAGTTCTATATTAATTTTGAAGGGATTTTACAAAATATCTTCACTACATAATTCCACTAATGCAAAATATCAATTGCATGGGTGCAGTTTTAGAGATATCACTGTAAATAACCTTGATTTTCAGAAATATTCATCAGCAGTGTTGGGATAAATATCTATTTAATTTGTCTCTTGTGAAAGTGTTTTTTTTAAATTATTATCCTTTTTTATTTGCATTTTTTATTTTTTTCACCTCTTCTAGGGTACAGGTCCTTTTTACCCCACCCAGGTGTGATTTTTCATATACGTTATTTGAAAAAACTGTTAAATCTATATCAAAATTAGCAATACATCTAATTAATTAACGTATACTTAAAAATTATACTGAGATCTCGTAAACTAAACAACAGTGCTCACAACCAAAAAACTAACATCGAAACAAAAATACTTCTGTTGTGGATTTTCAAATATTGCCGCTTGTCTCCGATAGTAACATAGTAAATATTAAAGAGATTTTTAAACATCATTTTTACTCTACTTGCAAATATTGTAGATAAAAATTCTCAATTTTACTTTTTTTTTGAGAAATCAGTGGTGGTCTTTTTTACCCGCAAACATTTAAGTCTGTTCTATCCTAAATGAAATAAAAGTTAAGTTATGTCTTACGTATGCATTTTTCGTCCATGATTTTGCAAAAAAAAAAAATATGAAAAATGTCTACAAGTGATATATAATTATTTTTTGCAGACAAGAGTGAAAAAATAATTATTATTCATTCATATCTTAATGACTCTATATAGATGTATTTCTGCATTTATAGACGCATTATTTTTATTTAATGCATTTCTATTTTCGAAGTGTAATTTTATATATTCGTTTATATCTACTATAAATTTGATTGAATTGAAATGTATGAAATTGTACACGCAGTTACACCATTCACTAAATCGTATTATTCATAAGCTTCCTTTTCTTTAGTTTCTGAATCGAATTTCATTATTTATATACTTCAAATCCTAAATCAAATATGTTTACCGCAAACCGATTTAATGTTTGCTCACGGGAAAATTGTACACTTCATTTCATTTCGTTGAAAACCGTTACTCAGAGAGATTTAATCGCAAGTATTTCCTACATAAATAATATATTTATAAAGGTACCAATGTGTGTGCAAACAAGTACTATTAATAAAAGAGCTGAATAGACTTTGTATTCGAATAAAATGAATATATTGCGAAAAGAAACGGTTCACAAAATAGCAAATTAAGGAGTACCGTTGAAAACAAATTGTCACAAAATCGATCTATAGTATGGTCGATACTGAAGTAAAAAGGCAGTACAAAATATATTTTTGAAGAAATTGCTAAAATATATTTTAACTACGAGCATTAACTAAATGATCATTTATTGCGCAGTAATTATGATATAATAAATAATTATCAGTAAATTTGTAATAACTATTATTTTAATGTATCTTTTTCAAAATTACACGTTTTAATTTAATTTCAAATTTACAACTTTCTTATTATTTGCTAGTGTTTGGAGGTTTTTTCTATTCTTTTTACCCCACTCACATATAAACTTTTAAAGAGGTTACATAAAAAATGGTTGAATCTAGTTCAAAGTTTACCTTAGGGCATCGTGCCTTGAAGGAAACTGCTGGAACTTTCCGTACCAATTTTTTTGTTTTAAAATTCTGTAAAATGTTTGGAAAACTTTGAAAAAAAAACACTTGTTTGAAAAACTTGAATTTTTCAAATATGTTTAACTAATAAATATTGTTACGGACCCCATAGAAATACAATAAACAAAATTTGTGCTAATTATTAAAATCTTTATAAATTATCAGATAATTTGATGTGCTTATATCGAATGATTATTTTTGACTGCCAAATGGCGTTCTTTTACTTTTTTTTAGT